ACTGCTGCCCTCTGCTGTCTGATACAGCAATATCATGATGCAAGACCAGAGATATTGTATCAACAAACTGTATACATTGTGTCGCATACCACATGATTGAAACACTGAAGAGATATATTTATGGTCCATGCTATCCGGGATCCTTGGGGCGTCCCTACCCCATTGAAGTTTACATTTAAAATGGTTAAGGTACGGGTTGAGGTTAGGGGCATAACCATGGGAAGTAGTTTGGATGGTGGGGGTGCTGCGACTTTTTTCCATTTTAGTGATGCTCCTATACAGAACAACTTACAATAGTGAGTGCATACATTTACATACTGGTCCCCAGGGGGAATCGAACCCACAACCGTAGCATTGCAAGCTCCATGCTCTACCAACTGAGCTACATCATTACAAACCACTTGATGTCTCAATGTACTCAAATACTGTATTGTGCATTGTTTTTCTTCATGGTGATGGAAAGTCTACAGGTACAAACCTAGATGACCAGCCTATGTACAATACACTAATGTACATTTGCATTAAGTGGTTTGTAAGGATGGTAAATTAATACTGCACAAAAAGTGGTTTAATATAAATATTTAATTTGATATGGATGTTTTGTGTCTTTGCCGATAACTTTGCACCTTTTGATGTAAATGTTTGAGGACAGGGTTTTGTTCTTTCTGGATTCCATTAGAATGACAATCACAGAGAAAATGACAGGGCAACAACTCTTACAATTCCAACTCTTGAATCCTGCAAGATACTGTTCTTAATTATACAACTACCAGAGATGCAGAAAATTTTTTGGGGCCCATGCTACAGACATCTAAATGATATCGGTCCGCTAATACTAGTAAAAGCCCAGTGCACTACTTTTCCAGGGGGTGCTGCAGCACCCTCAGCACCCCTACTTCCCGCGGCTATGGGTAGGGGTTAAGGTTAGGGTAGGGATATCCCAAGGAGCCAAGATAGCACTGACCATACATTTGTCTTTCCAACTGTTCAGCCAACTTTATCGGACATGTTGCTACATCAGCCTGGCCTTTCCCGCCTTTAGGTTTCCGTGGTTATGTTCATCATTAGATCACATTTTGTAATATTCTGGCTACTTACTGGCTGCAGAGAAAATCGATCACCCCAAAACAAAAGCAAGCTAACCTAAATATTCCACCAAAGAGTCAGACAATTAGAAATTACTCAGCTCCTAGAGGTATTTAAAAAATATATTGGACAACCAGTTTATAGGAACTCTCGAGGTGAGTGAATTTGCTATGATATTTAACTGCCACTATTTTAGCTGTTTTCTAAAACTAGCTAACCATGTCTGCTCTGAACAATCACATAAGACTATAGTATGAGCCTATTAACTAATTAACCTATTTCATGATTAATATGCCACTGCAGTGGCGAGATGATCAACTGCATGTTTTATGAAATTGAAGTGAAAGAGAATGTGGACCTCTCCATCTTTACAAAACGGCTTTAAGAAGATGGTAAGGTGTGTGCCTGAATTTTCCCCCCAACTAAGCCATTATATCTCCATGCATTTGTGATATTATGCATGTATGACATTTATTCTATGCAGGAGGTCCAGAACAGACATCCTCATATTTCAACACCCAGACTTCTGTAATGTCACAGAGATGAGAGAAGTCGACAAGGCATGGAAGAGGTCCTCAGATCTGTCCAGCTGGAAGGGCCCTTGTGAAGAGAAAGAGACAGCAGAGAGCACAAAGCCCCCTGGACATTCTATGACAACAATTGTATGCCATTTCTATTAGATTTTTGTGGTTTTCATATAGGCTACTACTGACATTGTTTCAAAATTATTTGGGATGTTTTTGTTTACCTATGGTGTTCAATAAAATATGTCCATAAATGTTTGCTATTTTAGTGAGTTTTCATTAGTTGAAGTGACTGTTTCTCAGTCAGTGATAATGTATCCGTTTCTGTTCTGTGCTTCTCCCACTCGCTTAGACTTTCCTATGAAAAGGACAGCAAGAGACCTATACAACTACATAAACTTCAACATTCCAGAGGCAGAAATTCTGCCTCCAAGTTTCCCTCACTCTCTCCTCTGGATCATTCAGCTACCTCTGAAACTCAAGACTCCTGCATGAAAGCGTCTGATAAGAACATCACGACGGTAGGCTCTGCCAAGTCCCCAACAACCGGATGTTCCAGTTTTCAGGGGAAATGGAAAGAGAGCCTGTGACACGACTTCTGCTTTTGGACGTTAACAGGGCCACACTGCATCTTAACTCCTCCTCCACATTTACTGGATTGGGTCAAAAGTGCAGAAGATAACCTCTCCCAACAGTAATTTTTTTCTCGTCAAGACCAGTATATCTAGTTTCAGGCGTTTCTTTTACTCCTGCTATGTTAGGTTATCACAACGGTAACAGGTAGGCCTACTGAAATCCAGAAGCACATTCTAACACAGATGAGAATTAGATTCTAACGAGACAATTTGGTCTAAGGCTCATTTAGTCGTCCAATATACTGGCCCTGGACTCACTAGTAGAGCCAATATACAATGCAATCCTTATTTGATGAGACAGCAGCCTAACAATTTACTGATTATTTCAGGATCAAGATGAGTGTCGAGGGCAGCTCTCTAAAGGGCAAGATCCATAGTCTGCAATACTAACATGCTGCCTCCTCTCTCCACACATCCCGCTCCTCAAGTCTCTTCCGACTAACCCCTCAACTTCTTGAATTACTGTAAAAGTGTAGTGTCGGGAGTTGTTGACAAAAACGTATGTCAAGGACACATTTTTATATTTTGTTGACGTGTGTGACTCATCAATGAATCATTTATCCACCTGCTCTTTAGTTTATTGCTGATTTACATAGTGCCAATATCCAGTAGGGGGCTCCAGTGAGCTGTTTACCACATACTGTTCTGCTCCTCAACCATGATACTGTGTATATATAAGCCAGATGTTCTGTCAAACAAAGTATGTATGTAATAAGTTTGTATATATTTTTTGAAACTTCAAATCAACCTCAAGTCACCATCATTCAAAAGCAGTATGTCCACAAAATAATGACAAGAGACCAAAAGTATGCTTATGGATGTGTATTTTAATAAAAATAATTCTGTCAAAATAAAACAGAATACAATATTTCTTTATCATGTTTCCAGTACATAGGTATGTTTTTTTTAAAATTATAGTTTCTTTCTTTTTTTTTATATTGTTTTAAAGGTTTTAAAAGTTTCATGCTAAGTACAGGGTAACTCATTTCACAATTGCTAAACTCAAAACGAAATGTAAATCATAATAGAAGTATATTGTGCGCAGCTTGTTTTTAATTCCTAATTCCCTTCGCCTCTCCATTTGAAGCATGGATAGCTCCAAAGGCCAATTTAAAACATAAAAGGAGAACTGGGAGGTTGCTTGCTACAGTAGGTGTAGGTGTGTCTATAAAAGTCCCAAGAGAAGCTCAACAGATTCCTCCATTTCTACACACACATCCCTATACATTAGTCAAGTTAGAAATTCTACTGTATAATGAATTCTCTTAAAATGGAAATATACATTTTGGGTGGCTATACTATTGAGTTCAAAAAGCCATTTGCTGTTTTTGAAAGAAATCAAGAGATACATGATTTGCTATCATGTCAAGCTATTATCAACACCTATCTGCTCTCTGCTTCCAATATTGAAAGCCTATGACTGGTTGTATTCTGAATTACCGGTAAACAGTATAGTGAAAACCCATGTGACGGATAGAGCAGCCTAGAGATTTAATTAAGTGAGCAACACGAGTTAAAACAACTCTAAAAACTTGAATCCAACATGGGTTACAATGTGGATAGGTATGCTTCAAAGACAGTGTGCCCCAGTATGTCAGATGTCTTTCACAGGTTTTGGATAAAGTCATGAGGCCCTTTCTTTTGCTTCCTACTGCAATACAAAAGAGGACCCTCACATAAGTGAGTAAAGGTTTTTGTTCTTGTTTTCCACATATTTTAGCAAGTAGAAACCCATGATGCAGATAGGAGATGTTGTGCAAATGTAAAGATTGTGTAAAAAAAAAAATCCAAATGGCCTTTGTGAACAGTATTATGGGATATTAAAGTCTACCAAACACTAATAACACAGAAGCAGATGATTTCTACTCCCACCACCCCTTTGCTTCACAAGCATGCTTTACATGATTGTCAAAAAGTGAATGAAACACATTGCAATATGTCTAACAGGTGTAGGGGATGTCAATTTCAATCTCATGGTGGCCAGCAGCAAATCTGAAACATAAATGTAATATCATCTGCTAAACTACATTCAACACACAGTGGAGCACCTCCTGCTGGCTGGCTGGCTGAAATACTGGGTTAATACATCAATGATTGACATTTGTCCCATGTGCCAAGAGAACATCTGTTAAATATAGGAGAATACATACTGTAACGGAAAAGACCAAAACACATTCAACTGTGAATACAATGAACAAAAACAAACAAGAAACAAAGTTGTGGCCACGTTTGTAAAAGTGACCGGGTCTGTGTGAGAAAAATAGAACTGCAAGAAAGCGAGAATAAGCATGTTGGCAATGATAAGACAATGGTCTTTCAAAGCACTGGTATGAAAAGACTGATTGACTGAATGTGTGGAATAAGTGGGGCAACTGGCAAGTACCATTGGTTATTAGAAAAGTTTAGGTCAAATTAAAAGCCTTGTATTTGGCAAATAGTTTCACTTTTTTATTCAATGTATAATTATATTGTATATATTCAACATCTGACTTCATAAAGGTATCTTCAATACAATTAGCAAGTAAAAAACCAGAGAGTGATTTCCAAATTCAAATTACCCACAGCACTGTATGTCTGTGTATTGTTACTGTATGCAAGTGTAGTATATTTCCAATCAAGTGTCTCCACTAGTTTGATGTGTAACATAGGCTGCGTTTACACAGGCCTACCCAATTCTGATCTTCTTTCCACTAATTGGTCTTTAGACCAATCACATCAGATCTTTTTCAGGGCTTATCTGATTGGGTCAAAATACCAATTAGTGAAAAACAAATCAGAATTGGGCTGCCTGTGTAAACGCAGCCTATGTTACACATCAAACTAGTGGAGACACTTGATTGGAAATACACTACACTTACTGTTTATTGAAACTCACAAATGAATCAGTGTCATTATTTCATTTGTGCTACCGTCTGGGGCTTTAAGGTGACCAGCAGGTTAGTGGCTTACAGCCATGTGTACTTTCAAAAGCCAATTCAGACCTTTAACTTTCAATTAAATCCATTTTTGGAGGCATACTAAGAAGTAAGAATTTGAACCAAAAAATGATGGTCCTAAATAGGAGCCACTGTACTGCTGGTTAAACATACCTCTTGTCTACAATATCCCATACTGAGATGACAAATGTCTTGTGAATACCTGAGTTCTGAATGAGAAACCAGAGTATCTTGCTTGGTAACGACAAAGCCTACCAATGTGAATTTATTTGATATGATGAACATCTTTAAATACTGTGTAGGGAATTCAAATCCACTCATAAAAACAAAAACGGAATTAGATTATTTTTTTCAAGATGAGCACAACAAACTGACCAAATAAAAACTCAAAAATGACTAGATAAACAGAATAATTAATTATCTTTAAATAGTGTCACACATTTTGTATTTGATAATACTAAATTAAAAACAAGCTTTCTTCTCATGTTCTACTCATTCCCCTGCCCATCTGCTTCTGCCAAATGGCAAGCAACACACCAATTCAAACACATGATCTCCTCAGTCATCTGGCAACCCATTGGAAAGTCCTCTTCTTTGCAGTCCTGAACATTGCCTTAAGAATGAAAGGAACAATTTTGGAACTGCTGTATTGCAATCTGTCCAACACTATTTCTGTACTCCAAACTGTAACCTTACAATCCTGCTTGATCATGTTGATGATAACAGCATGGGTCATGTGTAGTCAAAAATGTTCCTGAAACGTTCCCTATAGGTTCAAAAAGAATCATTGACGTGGTGCTAGAAGGGGAGGGTCGTTATGTGTGGGTGTCGGTGCAGACTCACCTGGACTGGGGCTAGTGCAAAAAGCTGTCAACTCTGGCGAAGGAACAGGAGCCTGAGCGGACCCTAGCCATGAGCTGGACACACTCTGTGGCCTGACCAACAGCTAACATCAGAGGGGGCTGCTTAGGCAAGTTCTGAGACTCTGAGGGGCCAAAAGACAACACAGGCATCATCAGGGTGTGTACATTAATAAAGCATGTGCGACTCAGTAGAGGCTGCTGAGGGGATGACGGCTCATAATAATGGCTGGAATGGAGTCGATGGAATGGTATCAAACACATCAAACATGTGGTTTCCATGTGGTTGATACCGTTCCATTGACCATTCCAGCCATTATTATTAGCGGTCCTCCCCTCAGCAGCCTCCACTGGTGTGACTCAAACATGTACATGGCAAAATGTACAGTGTGTATTCATTAGAAGAGAGTTAACACGCACACTACCAAGCCCAACACATTTGTGGTGCTGGGAGTTACTGCCCCCAAAAACATCTTTGTAGAAAAAATTTAAATAGTAAAACAATCTACAGTGTGTATTCATGACATTGTGTATGTGAAACGTAGCCTTACCCAAGATGGCGCTGTTGAGAGCGGAGCAGATATTTTCTCTCTGCATTGGATCTAGCTGTTGCCCCACTGGGCAGTTCCAGGGATCTGAATATGCTAATAGACTGAATGCATCCTGTGGTAAAAGAAAGAGAGAGGGATAGGAAGCTCGAGAGAAAGAAAGAAAACAGCGTGACCAGTTCAAGCCCAATAGCCCATTAATGACTATGATTTGGAAGCAGTAGAATGGTCTGTCGTAAACAGAGGGAACATCATAGACCAGGGGTAGGCAACTTTTGTCGGAGTGGATGGTCGGGGGGCCAGAACATAATTATAATAATTTGTACACTGGAAATTGACCACAACTAAGCCTAAAAAGAGATTGTATGGGGCCTCCCGAGTGGTGTCACTACAGAGGCATCACTACAGACCCGGGTTCGATCCCGGGCTGTATCACAACCGGCCGTGATCGGGAGTCACAATTGGCCCAGCATCGTCGGGGTTAGGGGAGGGTTTGGCTGCTCTCGCGACTCCTTGTGGCGGGCCGGGCGCCTGCAGGCTGACCTCGGTCATCAGTTGAACAGTGTTTCCTCCGACACATTGGTGTGGCTGGCTTCCGGGTTAAGCGGGCGGGTGTTAAGAAGCGCGGTTAGGCGTGTCATGTTTCGGAGGACGCATGACTCGACCTTTGCTTTCCGAGGCCCCTGGGGAGTTGCAGCGATGAGACAAGATCGAAATTGGGGAGAAAAAGAGGGTAAAAATAATAATAATAATAATAATAAGAGATTGTATTTGAAAATAACAATTTTATACCTTGAATTACATTAAGACATGATCACATATGTCTCTTGGGAACAGATTTGCTCAATTAAACACATTTTAAGCTGAATTCCTGGTGGTTTTACAGTATTTTCTGACCAAAAACAGATAAATAAAACTTTGGGGTGACAAAACAATATCTCTTGCGGACCAGTTTTGGCACATGGACCGCCTGTTGCCAACCCGTCATAGACGCTTTCAGTGAATCTACCTTAATTGTAGGAGAACAATACTAGGGATAGATTTTCCAATGGCCATATACAAGTAGTAGTGTGTAAACAGCTCAGAAGGGAAAGGGGATAACTAGTCAGTTGCACAACTGAATGCATTCAACGAAAATGTGTCATCTGCATTTAACATTTACATTTTAGTCATTTAGCAGACGCTCTTATCCAGAGCGACTTACAGTTAGTGAATGCATACATTTTTCATAATGGCCCCCCGTGGGAATCGAACCCACAACCCTGGCGTTGCAAGAGCCATGCTCTACCAACTGAGCTACAGGAGGGCCACCCAACCCCTCTGAATCAGAGAAGTGCGGGGGGGCTGCCTTAATCGACGTCATCGGCGCCCGGGAGCAGTTGTTGTTGTGGGTTAACTGCCTTGCTCAAGTGCAGAAGGGCAGATTTTTCCGCCTTACCGGCTCGGGGATTCGAACCGGTTACTGGCCCAACGCTCTTTACCACTAGGCTACCTGCCGCCCTTGGAAATCCTGCAAGTCATTGTACTGCAGCATAACAAAACATGCCCCAGGGCGGTGGTTGAAAATTATACAATTTGTGAGTCACAGTCACAAAGTGTGCCAGTCTTATTTTGTGTGAAACCTCCCAGGCCTGTCCCTCTTTCCTCCCCCCTCCCTCTCCCCCTCTGGTACCTGCAGCATCTTCTTGTGCGTGGCGTTCTTGCCGTATTCCCGGCACAGCTGCTCGTTGAGGCCCTGCAGCTCGCGGCCAAACTGGATCATCCTCTCTGTGGCTGCCTGGTTCCCTCCACACAGCTGTCTGGAGGCACAGCTGTCTTCTCCAAGGAAGGAGGGACATGCACACACAGGGTCAGAGGCCAGCCACGGACAGAGTGTATTTTACACTTGCGCCTGACAATCAAAATAGGAAGCGTGTGTGTGTCAAGCGTCTGTACCTGCCACTCCGTTTCCCAGGCTGCCGTCCTCAGCCTGCAGGATTTCTTGATGCTTGTAGGTGCCGTTCATGATCCGAGTAGAGGAGTTCTCCGCCACCCCATTAGTGTAGTGCTCTGCCTCGATCTCCATCTCACTGTCACTGCAGAGGACTCACAGTCAGGTTCACTCATCCATACACAACGTCATTATACCACAGATGTTCTGCCTCTCTCTCACACTCACGGACACAGATGACAGACACGCACCTGGCACCCCAGTAAAAACAGAGATACATTACTAAACACATAGACCCTTGCCTTGCCACACACCTGGTCTCCTGGTTGCTGGTGCCACTGTGAGGCTGGGACTTGGTGGAGTCAGTGGAGTTGGACTCAGAGTAATTGACAGAGGAAGGGGAGGAAGAGGAGGAGGAGGAGGCAGAGCTGACACCAGGGTACTTGTTGTGGCTCTTGTTCTTGTTGGGAGGGGTGACCCCGTTACTGCATGTTGGGCTGTCTGCTCCTGGAATGGACAGAGAGCCAGGGTGAAACAGATCCAACAGATGGACAATCCTCTCTCTTATGTGTTTGTAACACACTGGGTGGATGGATAGGTAATTAGGAGTGTGTAGGGTGGATGGGTGGATGGGTGGATTTGCAGGTGTTTCCCTTACCTGCGCTGTGCAGATGGGGGTTGGTGGCTCCATGTCGGGGGCTCAGGCTGGGGGAGCCAGGGTAGCTGTCCTGGGACTTGGGGGAGCGGACACTAAAGCATCGTACCTCACTGTCTGTACCGTTCACCATCTCCACAAACTGCCGACACCTGGGAGGGACAGGCAACCATTAATCTGTCTGACATTCACTCTATATCTACACTCAAAAAATGTACTAACACCCTTGCCTTCTTTGCACTAACACTCGCACTTGTCTTTTCGTACTAGCACTGACTTTGTCGATAACTACTGTATTAAGGAAAAATGTACTTGACTGTACTATGACTGCGAAGATGAATGCACTAACTGTAAGTCGCTCTGGATAAGAGCATCTGCTAAATGACTTACTCTCTGACATCATTTACAACCACTCTACTATCCATCTAAGAGTCTGATCACTACTCTACAATATATTGCAATGTCTGACATTCTTTATCCAGGAATACATTGTACTATTTGATAACAAACACTACATTCTGCTTAACTGTCTGATATCTCATGCATGCTCACTTGCTTGAACAAAAAACAGTCTGAATGCAGTCTGAACACAATTGTCAACTTGAATAATTATTGCAATACTTCAATTTCTTTCAGAGGTCAGCAAAGGTGTGGCCATGTAAGATCATGTCTTTGTACCCAGAAATATATAAATGTAACAGGAACAAGTCAGACTGGTTCCAGAGTATGAGTATCTGGTTTTATGGATACATGTCATTACCATTGGATGAATGTCAAACAGAACAGCGACCGCTCTGCTCACTCCTCTTCCATGACAAAATGGAGCAACAGGCATGACCAATCAAATCATGAGTTCCCTCAGCGGCAGCAACTGTGACCTTGTGCTCACCCTGCCCCCTCTCTGTGTAACGCTCCTCTATTGCTACAACAAGCTCCTCTCTACCTCTATAAGAGAGCCAGAAATACTGGCCTTCTTGCTGTGTGTCTGCTTCTCAGCGGATCACAGGATTTATTAATGTAATCTAATGTCTTTGTGCCATAAACACACAGCTGGGCAGCAGGCCACAGCTTTACTGCTAAGTGCTTCTAGGGTTGTGTTGCATGTGCCTGAGCCTGCAAAGGCACTACAAGACTAGCAGTGCTTATTTAAGCCCCACAATTCCAATACTCCTTCATTTAGCCCTTTGATAAACACTCATTAGAGTCCCATAGTTGGGTACAAGGCTGCTCACTTCAACATGAACAGTAAATTGGAGTTGTGTTCTAGGAGCCCAGGGTACAGCTGCTGTGTGGCTTCGATGGCCTCACCAACCCTCCCTGCCAATACCAGCTTCTGTATTCCTGTCGACAAAAAGATGCATGTTACCATTAAAAACTGATTGGATGGATGACTGTGGTCAAATGAATGACAGTGATTGCTCCTCAGTGTTTCCATGGTATTGTCAGTGTGGAGCCTTAGTGTGGTTCTCACTCTGTCTGTTCTTTATGGAGGTCTGGTCCTCCTGGATCAAGGTCTCTGTAGCCCTGGCAAAGGCTGTGGCCGTGGCACAGTACCCATGATGCACCAGGTAGGTGGATACCATACTGAAAGAATCAAAGACATGGTTTAGCCTTACAGTAGTACAGAGAAAGACACAGTAGTCTGTTAGGGTGATAAGTGTGGTGTGGGTATGGATCCCTTACTTCTGAAGCACTGCCTGCCACTCCCCCAGTCTCTCTCCGATTGGGAAGCGGGCGATCATGCCATGGATCTTAGCCCTCCATTCACTCATATAGTCCTCAATGTCAAACACAAAGGGCTGCTGGCCAAAGTTAGCATCCACAATCTCTCCTGGAGTCTGCAGGCCCACTGTGGGGTACAGGTTGGGCTGTGGGTAAAGGGAGAGGTGTGAAAACACAGGCATATACAATATGCACACCTTGGCAAGGGCACATTCCCCCTCTGGCCATAATGGTAAGAACTTGCCATTCATTTTGATCACTTGATAATTTGATGGCATGGCAACCGTGAATAATGTAGGTCTTTCATATCATCACCACTAATGGAAGCAGCAAAGCTACCACTACTGATTGCAACAGAAGTCCTTGACATTGAACATGTCCAAATTTCAGTGTAATACTCACAGGGAGGTCTGTAAAGGCTACACCTGGAGAACAAACAGAGGGAAAAGTGTTAATGGACTGGAAGAAATTGAAAATGTTATAATCTGCAACCAAGTAAACAGAATCGTATAAATTGCCTGGGAACATTTCAAATGGGTGAAGCATATTGTATTTTCATATAACAATTAACTTGGATGTTTTTTTCCCTGCAATGTTGGTGTGCAGTTCTCACCTAGACTGATGCCGTTCTTGGTGTAGAAACAGGTGTTATTAATTAGGTTCACACAGCAGCCAATCACATCGCCTGTGGTGAAAGTTGGGCCATATGGTTGGCCAGTCCCTGAAGAGCAGAAGGAGTGTCCGTCGTCGCCATGGTAACCATATGAGTGCTTGTCCCAACCTGGGACAGGAGACAAGGCAGAAGTGATTAGAGGAAATCTAGACCCATGGCATGAATATTTAATATTACACATTAACAACCTGGAGGAAACAGAGAAAATCAAGGCATATTGAACTAACACTTTCAGAAGCTTACAACTAGAGGTAACCATTCTCATCTCAAATCTAGCTAGATTAATATGCATCATGGTTAGGGCAGTGCTACTCATAAATTTGAGAGGGGAAGGAGTGTGATGGGTGACCCCAGCAGTGTGATGAGTAATATAATCCCCATAAAGACACTGACATGGGGTAGAGCTGAGCCTGACAAATGGTATCTTTCTAATTAGGATATCCCCACTCCTGTCCTGTATAGCATGTGAAATACTCTGGTTGGCCAGCGAGAGGCATCCGTCTCTGAATAGGAGCACTGACTGATGAGTCATACTCAAACAGAGCAGTACATATGATGTTTGTGCATGGTATCAATAGGGACCGGGAAGGATAGTAGACTGTGTGCAGAGGGAGATGTGGATGATAGATCTTCAAGTCAGTGCATGTGTTTGTGGGGGGGGGGGGGGGGGGGGGGGGTGTATTGTATAGGCCTACAGTTGAAGTCGGAAGTTTACATACGCTTAGGTTAAAACTCGTTTTTCAACCACTCCACACATTTTTTGGTAACAAACTATAGTTTTGGCAGGTCGGTTAGGACATCTACTTTGTGCATGACACAAGTACATTTTCCAACAATTGTTTACAGACAGATTATTTCACTTACAATTCACTGTATCACAATTCCAGTGGGTTAGAAGTTTACATTCACTAAGTTGACTGTGCCTTTAAACAGCTTGGAAAATTCCAGAAAATCATTTGAGTCAATTGGAGGTGTACCTGTGGATGTATTTCAAGGCCTACCTTCAAACTCAGTGCCTCTTTGCTTGACATCATGGGAAAATCTAAAGAAATCAGCCAAGACCTCCACAAGTCTGGTTCATCCTTGGGAGCAATTTCCAAACGCCTGAAGGTACCACGTTCATCTGTACAAACAATAGTACGCAAGTATAAACAGCATGGGACCACGCAGCCATCATACCGCTCAGGAAGGAGACGCGTTCTGTCTCCTAGAGATGAATGTACTTTGGTGCGGAAAGTGCAAATCAATTCCAGAACAACAGCAAAGGCACTTGTGAAGATGCTGGAGGAAACAGGTACAAAAGTATCTATATCCACAGTAAAACAAGTCCTATATCGACATAACCTGAAAGGCCGCTCGGCAAGGAAGAAGCCACCGCTCCAAAACCACCATTAAAACAGCCAGACTACGGTTTGCACATCGTACTTTTTGGAGAAATGTCCTCTGGTCTGATGAAACAAAAATAGAACTGTTTGGCCATAATGACCATTGTTATGTTTGGAGGAAAAAGGGGGTGGCTTGCAAGCCGAAGAACACCATTCCAACTGTGAGGCACGGGGGTGGCAGGATCATGCTGTGGGGGTGCTTTGCTGCAGGAGGGACTGGTGCACTTCACAAAATAGATGGCATCATGAGGAAGGAAACTTATGTGGATATATTGAAGCAACATCTCAAGACATCAGTCAGGAGGTTAAAGCTTGGTCGCAAATTGGTCTTCCAAATGGACAATGACCCCAAGCATACTTCCAAAGTTGTGGCAAAATGGCTTAAGGACAACAAAGTCAAGGTATTGGAGTGGCCATCACAAAGCCCTGACCTCAATCCTATAGAACATTTGTGGGCAGAACTGAAAAAGCGGGTGCGAGCAAAGAAGCCTACAAACCTGACTCAGTTACACCAGGAATGGGCCAAAATTCACCCAACTTATTGTGGGAAGCTTGTGGAAGGCTACCCGAAACGTTTGACCCAAGTGAAACAATTTAAAGGCAATGCTACCAAATACTAATTGAGTGTATGTAAACTTCTGACCCACTGGGAATGTGATGAAAGAAATAAAAGCTGAAATAAATAATTCTCTCTACTATTCTGACATTTCACATTCTTAAAATAAAGTGGTGATCCTAACTGACCTAAGACAGGGAATTTTTACTAGGATTAAATGTCAGGAATTGTGAAACTGAGTTTAAATGTATTTGGCTAAGGTGTATGTAAACTTCCCACTTCAACTGTATGTGTGTGTGCAGTGAGTGTATATTGTTGGCTCAATCAATATCTGTCACCAACCAAAAAGTGAAAGTGGCGCAGAGAAAGTAGGTTGTGTGTGTGAACTGTGAGGTATTAGATTAATGTGCGGAGCAGCGCTGACAGGGATATTGCTCCTAAAGCTGGGCTCAGTGTTCCCTACATGCTAATGAAATAGACAGGGCTCCACTATGGGATCAGACACACAGAGGTCAACAGGGAATATTACAACTATTCCAGCCAGAACCAGACCACACACACACGGGTCACAGAAATGTACTGAAGTCCGTTGGCATATAATGTACTAGAAACCTAAATAAATCTTCATAAACAATATGTTCATACAACTAAACTCTCTCACACACATGCAGCCATTTCCACCATATTCCAACCATTGTGTAACAGAGATACATTTGAAGCACTCAGAGCTGGGAGTGAATAAACAGCAGTTGTAGTCAGCAAGAGCATGTAGAATTGGCTGGATGAGTCCAAAGCATTCCAAAGGCCTCAGGCGCCATGGAGAACCCAATAGGCAGGTGACACAGCCTGAGGCAGGGGTCATATGATTGGTCAGAGCAGCATTGAGGAATTATCTAATAGGCAGGGAATTGCATCAGTGCACAAGGGGAAACATACTGTCAGCCCCTCGGCAGCAATATGCCAACCCTCTTCCAACCTGTCTTGTGTCCCCAGCAGCCAATCAGTGATATCTTCACATGCATGAGAGTGGAGAGAAAGGGCAAGAGAGAATTTGATGGAGTTATGTAATAATAATAATAATAATATGCCATTTAGCAGACGCTTTTATCCAAAGCGACTTACAGTCATGCGTGCATACATTTTTTTTGTGTATGGGTGGTCCCAGGGATCGAACCCACTACCTTGGCGTTACAAGCGCCGTGCTCTACCAGCTGAGCTACAGAGGTAAGAATGTATTAAATCTACATGTACTTTCTGTTTAACCTCCATTGCCTGTTCAACTGGTGATGAAAGAAAGAGTGTTTGGTTAACTAATTACTGCTGAGCAGTGGGCCAGGCCAGGCCAGTCCAGGGTGCAGATGGCCCTGTATTCATGCAGTGATACTGCTCACATCTCCCCTCTGTGTTTGGTGGTAAACACACTCATCTACTAGCCTGTTTGGTTACATTCAATCCAATCCAATCTCATCAGGCCTTGGCTTGAGTTTCTGCTTGGATGGCTTCATTCACTGTATCAGGAGTGCTGCAGATGGACCAATTTGATCTATGTTCTGACCATTCAACAGTAGGTCTATATGTAACTATTGTAGAATTTATGATTGAGGAAAATTCAATTTGGGCCCTAGGCCTATACTGTATTGAGGATGAGATGGCCTTAAGCGGATTTCTTGAAATGAAATTATCAACGATTACTCGTTTATTTCTCCCTTCCTCTTCAATGAATGTGAGCCAGCCATCCTGCCTGTGGCAGCTCCACTATCACCTGACCTTCATACAGACACTGAAAGCTTTTATGTGGAGGAAAAAGGGTACTTGCTGGTATTTCGCATGTTAAATTTCATCCTCTCATTACTAACGGCTGTGCTCAAACAAGCCCATGCCTGCTCTGGAGCAGTCAGACACTCTGGGAGACATCATCACTACACATGGTTTCAATGTGACATTGAATCTAGATCCATCCAGGCACTCCAGAGGAAAGATGACAAATCTGGAAACACAAATCTGGATATAGATTCCCATGGCACTCTAAAACGTAGATTAACACCTTAAAACTGTGCCCCTCAAATAGTAAAAACTGAACCTTATGTGGTTTTTATCTAGAATCACATCAGTCACTGCTGCAGTGATGGTGTGAGGAGATCTGAAGATAACATGTTTTCATTTTTGAGTTGTGCTAATTTCAGAGTTGTGTTTAAAAAACACATTTAGTTGTCCACAATCTATTACAGTCGCACAACCAAAGCACACACTGACTACTACCCCTTGTCCTTCAGTCATAAACCAATACAGCAGGGCAGGGTTCTAGCTGTGAACCCTTTGACCTCCAAAACCCCTACTCATCCCATACTGACTCAGCCTTCCCTTCTGCCACCGCCCTCCCTTCCCTCTTCCCTTACCATCCCTCATACTCACCAGGCAGTCTGTTCATGTTGACCCCCTGGGCAGACAGACCAATTCCCATGTACCTGGAGACAACAACAACAACAGGAGGTGGTCAAAGGTTAGAGACATCATTAGCTTAGACAACATGAGTCAGTCTGATATGGGTCAATAGCTGGACTGATTAATCCTTTCAGACCCAAAGTTGCTTTCCTTTATTTACTGCTCTCTTTAGTTTCTCTACATGTTGCTCAACATGCCATTTTCAACTGCACAAATAGAGATGGCCTACAGTAATAGCTAACATGAGTAAACAGATCGTGGTGTAATCATTTAACGTTTGAGGTTAGAACATTAGGGGTACTAACTATCAGCAACTACGTACCCATCCCTGCCCTTGCTGACAATCTTCACTTCAAAGTAGTAGATCCCACAGGCGGCTGGTATGGGATGAGTGGCACGCACAGATGCAGCATCCTTATGATTCTTCCCATGGCCTACAGAAGGAGCAAAACGCTTTGTTTCAGTCAGTACAGTACACCACAAACATCCCACAGCTCTGTCAATCTGAAAAAGGTCAAGGCTTCTCTCCCCAAGGACCCTGAAAAGCCTCATACTGTACAAATTACGAAACCATTTCAAACCTCAACCATTTCCCTGTCAATCCTACCTCTATTTACAATAATATTCATGCAAATTCATACTTAAATCCTGTGACATGAAATCTTAGGTCCAATGTCCCTTCATAGCCGTATACATGAATGCCAAACTAATCAGAAGCACGGAGTTCATTTAGCCTGGAACACTCCGGCAACAGAGTAATGTCAGGGTCAGTATAGTGACGCTGTCACTGTCTCGCCACTCCATCCAGCTCGTAATTGTGACAGCTTACACAACCCCTGTGTGTGTGTGTGAGTGTGTTACACACTGTAATCTAACCCTCCTTGCTGGTTGATAACAGGACACCTAAGGCCTGTGCACAGTGCTGCTGTGAAGTACACTACATGACCCAAAGTATGTGGACACCTGCTTGTCAGACATCTCATTCCAAAATCATGGACATTAATATGGAGTTGGTCCCCCCTTTGCTGCTATAACAGCCTCCATTCTTCTGGGAAAGATTTCCACTAGATGTTGGAACATTGCTGCGGGGACTTGCTTCCATTCAGCCACAAGAGCAATAGTGAGGTCGGGCACTGATGTTGGGCGATTAGGCCTGGCTCGCAGTCGGCGTTCCAATTCATCCCAAAGGTGTTCGATGGGGTTGAGGTCATGGCTCTGTGCAGGCCAGTCAAGTTCTTCCACACTGATCTCGAAAACCATTTCTGTATGGACCTCGCTTTGTGCACAGGGGCATTATCATGTTGAAACAGGAAAGGGCCTTCCCAAACGGTTGCCACAAAGTTGGAAGCACAGAATCATCTAGAATGTCATTGGATGCTGTAGCGTTAAGATTTCCCTTCACTGGAACTATGGGGCCTAGCCCGAACCATGAAAAACAGCCCCAGACCATTATTCCTCATCCACCAAACTTTATACAGTTGGCAATATGCATTGGGGCAGGTACCGTTCTCCTGGCATCCGCCAAACCCAGATTCGTCTGTCAGACTGCCAGATGGTGAAGCGTGATTCATCACTCCAGAAAACGCGTTTCCACTACTCCAGAGTCCAATGGAGGCGAGCTTTACACCACTCCAGCCGATGCTTGGCATTGCGCATGGTGATCTTAGGCTTGTGTGCAGCTGCTCGGCCATGGAAACCCATTTCATGAAGCTCCCGACGAACAGTTCTTGTGCTGATGTTGCTTCCAGAGGTAGTTTGGAACTCGGTAGTGAGTGTTGCAACCGAGGACAGACAATTTTTATGCTCTACGCGTTTCAGCACTCGGCGGGCCCGTACTGTGAGCTTGTGTGGCCTACCACTTCGCGGCTGTGCCGTTGTTGTTCCTAGAGGTTTCCACTTCACAATAACAGCACTTACAGTTGACCGGGGCAGCTCTAGCAGGGCAGAAATTTGACGAACTGACCTGTTGGAAAGGTGGCATCCGATGACGGTGCCACGTTGAAAGTCACTGAACTCTTCAGTAAGGCCATTCTACAGCCAATGTTTGTCTATGGAGATCGCATGGCTGTGTGCTCGATTTTATACACCTGTCAGCAACGGGTGTGTCTGAAATAGCTGAATCCACTAATTTGAAGGGGTGCCCACATACTTTTGAATATATAGTGTATCTGTTGGCCATGCCACGCAGAACATGTCTATCTATGTGGGCACCCTTGTGGACTACAGGAAAAAAAAGAGGACTGAGCACACCCCCATTCTCATCGACGGGGCTGTAGTGGAACAGGTTGAGAGCTTCAAGTTCCTTGGTGTCCACATCACCAACGAACTATCATGGTCCAAACACACCAAGACAGTCGTGAAGAGGGCACGACAAAGCCTATTCCCCCTCAGGAGACTGAAAAGATTCGTCATGGGTCCTCGGATCCTCAAAAAAATTATACAGCTGCACCATCGAGAGCATCCTGACTGGTTGCATCACCCCCTGGTATGGCAACTGCTTGGCCTCCGACCGCAAGGCACTACAGAGGGTAGTGCGTACGGCCCAGTACATCACTGGGGCCAAGCTTCCTGCCATCCAGGACCTCTATACCAGGCGGTGTCAGAGGAAGGCCCTCAAAATTGTCAAAGACTCCAGCCACCCTAGTCATAGACTTTTCTCTCTGCTACCGCACGGCAAGCGGTACCGGAGTGCCAAGTCTAGGTCCAAAAGACTTCTCAACAGCTTCTACCCCCAAGCCATAAGACTCCTGAACAGCTAATCATGGCTACCCAGACTATTTGCACTGCCCCCCCCCACCCCATTTTTTTACGCTGCTGCTACTCTGTTAATGATTTATGCATAGTCACTTTAACTCTACCCACATGTACATATTACTTCAACTACCTCAACTAGCCGGTGCCCCCGCACATTGACTCTGCACCGGTACCCCCCTGTATATATAGCCTCCCTACTGTTATTTTATTTTACTTCTGCTCTTTTTTTCTCAACACTTTTTTGTTGTTGTTTTATTTTACTTTTTTATTAAAAATAAATGCACTGTTGGTTAAGGGCTGTAAGTAAACATTTAACTGTAATGTCTGCACCTGTTGTATTCGGCGCATGTGGCCAATAAAATTTGATTTGATTTGATTTATGTAAGTGGAGCTGTGCCTCTGTACTGTATCCCTGTCTGTAACGCACAGCCATCTTCATTACCATATTGTACAAATCCACTAATCAACCATTCATGCATTACCACAGTCATTACAACTAATAGAGAAGCAGTGTATTTATAATCACTTTTGATTTCAGCAGCAACATTAATCACTTCTATTTTTAGCCTTTCTGTGAGGGCAATTCCATGGTAACAGAATTACGCTGAGACTCAGATTTTTCACTTTAACATGTATTCCAAACAAAACCACTGATTACAAAGTTAAACAAACCATACAACTCTATGAACAAGGACTACTTTGAACAATTTACACAGAAAAACAAAATAAAATAAACATTTACTGGAAGAACTGTGCTGATGCAAAGTTTGGTAACAGAATTGCGGTAAAATCTCCCTCAGTTTTTTATGCAACCATGTTTTACAAAAACTCTCAAATATCTGCTCCGAATTAAGATTCAAAGACATCTGCAGAAAGAATGGGGTGTCAGCTATGACATGAAACCTTTAGTTTAAAAAATCTATTTTGGTTATTGAACTACAGTAAGTGAAGTGGATTTACACCCAGTAACAGAATTACGGTAACGGAATTACATTTTAGTCATTTAGCAGACGCTCTTATCGAGAGCGACTTACAGTTAGTGAGTGCATACATTATTATTATATTTCATTATTCTCAATTACTTAATGGGCCCCTGATCTGTACTACACAGAAATGCATAATTATGGATATGAATGTCATTGTCTTTATGGCGATGTATCCTGAATAGGTACACAAAGGTAGAAATATACAATATCATCCTTTGTATATATGGAAATTATTCTAATGACCTCCGCCCGCAAACAAGACCAAATTTGGTGGGTCTGGACCGGACCAAATCTGAACCAATCCTAGATGTCTATGTTTCACAAGTTTCGACATCACAGTACAGCACATTATACTCTACACTACCGTACTTTTCTTTACTGTACTCTACTGGGCTTCAATATACTGTACTGTGCTGTCCAAACTTGTACAACATAGACATCTATGATTGGTTCAGATTTGGTCCAGTCATCAACCATGGACGTCTATGCACGTTGAAATCAAGGCCGGTCCAGCCCAAAAAACGACGTCTGTGGATGTTGAAATCAAGGCCAGGGTGGACTGACCAAATTTCAACTACTTTCAACATCCACGGATGTCCGATGTCGGTCGGTGCTCAGTGGTTGCAGCTCATGGGTAGGTGTCAGTAAGAGCCGGGAGAGGTAACATTAACTGGAGAGAGAGAAAAGAGAGAGAGAGGCAGAGAGAGGGAGGGGTTGTCCAGACTTTTCACACTCTCACTTTGACCACCAGACAACAGAAAGAGAAGAAAACAGTTATGAGCTGAACATAACAGTATGCCAGTGGAAGGGAGGACAGTAGCAGGTGACCCAACTGTGGTTTGGTAACAGAATTAAGAGTTTTAATCACTTAATAATCATTAAACTAATTGGTAGGTCTACCTTTACTTGTTACTTCTGCGAACTTTCATTATCCTCCCTCCTCATGAGAGAGAGAAATTAGAAAATATCTTTAAGATACTGTATGTGGGTTTTTGGTAACGGAATTACAAAGCACAATGCAATGTTTCTTAAATTTACAGAAGGCAAATAATTTATCCAAAACGAAATATAAGTGTTGATATTAGTTGGCAGGGGTCTTTACTTCAACATTATTGTGTTTTGATGTATTTCTACTTTTTCTGGTATATGAAATCCAAACCATTACTTATGCAAAATGTTTAAGATGGAAAATCGTTGAAAAATGCATCTATGCCTTCATTTCCCAGAAGTATAGACTCTTAGCTTTCATTTGACAAACAATTTGATATACTCCTATGAACTTCACATGTTGGTGCTCATGGGTCCTTTTAGATGGAAATGACTGTAACCAAAGCTCAGCAGGCCCGCTCTATGACCAGACAAACACCCATAATAAATACAACACATGCACATACTCGCATCTATAAATACCTCCAACTCAGTCACACCACCACCTCAGCAGACAGCACTCAGCTCAGCAGTGCCACAGTCCTGGGAGTGAGACTCCCTCACTGTCTCCGTCAATCTCACTCTCTCACACGCACACATACACACTTGCCACTTTTTTAAATAGAAAAGGCACAAATAACAAATCAAACATTTAGGCGAGAAAGAAGGCTGTTTTTTTTTATGGCTATCTAACAAATCAAGAGGTAGCTTTTGGTTGCAATGTTGTGTAACATTCACATAGACCTAAGTACTTGGTTAAAAATGTGATGTTAGAGCACAATGCAAGCGTACTCAAACATT